GTGTGTGTGTGTGTGTGTGTGTGTGTGTGTGTGTGTGTGTGTGTGTGTGTGTGTGTGGAAGCGAGCGCATTTGTCACCCAATTTCATCTCAGCAACCAAAAAAGCTGGTAGGCTGAAATTTCAGGTTTGTTTCCCTACCCCATGTGTCACCCTCTCTTTTTAAGATCTTCCCCCACACGCGCCTAGACCCTGTGTACCCCCCCCCCCTTTCAAAGAAAAATATGCTAATTTCTTTGGCGGGAAGCAATTTCGCAAACCGGGCAAGGTACAAAGTTGAAACTTTGCACGGATATTCTCTGTCTATGTGCGAGTTAAAGATTTCAAATTCAGCTGCCGCGCACGGCTGTGCAGCACGTATGACCACGTCAAAGTTTGTGACTTGGTACTATGCTAACTTGAAAACTTGCCGGGAAACAGTGACTGAAATTTTGTCGGGATATTTGTCTCCCATTATAGTATATAGTATACCTAAAATGAGCACTGATTTGCGCTTCCGCTACTACTTAGGGTACTTCGAAGGTATTTGTGGCAAAGTGAATATTCCGCATAATGCATGATCTGCGAGGCTGAAGATTTGCTGGGATATTCTACTTTCAGATGCGATTTTAATTCTCAGTTCTGTTTGGAGGTGGAATTCCCTCCAAGTAGGCGTGAGAAATACTCAACCTTACCGAAAAATTAGAAAGGAGTGCGTTTTGCGAACGACTGCCTTCACTCAAATATGTAAGTAAACATTGGTTCATTTGCATACTTGGATTTTTTCATAAACGACTGCTCGAGCAATACTTCCACTTTTTAGTGAGCTGAAAATTTGCATTTTCATTTTCTCAGAAAGCTAGCATTTATCGAAACCCAGGCTGGAGCGCGCACCAGGCGGGCCGGAGCGATTATGCGTTTTTGCACTTTCGTACCGTAGCAAGATCGCAAGGAGTAAGTGTAGCTACCAGGCGGGCCGGTGCGATTATGCGTTTTTGCACTTCTCGTGCCGTAGCAAGATCGCAAGGAATCAAAGTAGCTAACCCTGCAACATACTGACCCTCGAAGTTCGAGAAGTTAATTGTGCAACTATGTGGCATTTCAGTTGTAGATGTCGGTTTCAGTGATCCGGCAAATGGAAAAGTTCCGCAAAAAAAGCCACACCAGAAGAGTTAAATTTGAAATCTTTTAGTCGTACATAAGTAGGGAATTTTCCCTTAAAATTAAAGCCTTCAGCTTGTCCTTTCACGAATTGGCAGTTTTCCCACCAAAATTTTAACGTTTCCGTACGTGGTTACCGGACAGTCTTAAGGAGCTTTGGTCGTACATGAGTAGGGAACGTTATCCTGAAGTTTCAGCTTTCTAGCTTTTTTCGTTCCCGAAATTTTCACGTGTCCCTACGTGATTACGGGACGCTTTTAAGGAGATGAATTTAAAATCTTTTGGTCGCTGAGTAGGGAACGTTATCCTGAAGTTTCAGCTTTCTAGCTTTTTTCGTTCCCGAGTTAATGATTTCTGCTCCAAAAATCTCCACGTGTTCGTACGTGAACCTCCAGGCGTTTCTAAACACCTGATTTTGCTCGTACATGAGTAGGGGATATTCCCTTAAAGTTTCAGCTTTCTAACTTTTACTGTTCCCGGGTTAGAAATTTTCGCGCCAAAATTTCCACGTGCCTGTACGTGGGCCTAGGGTGCTTCTAAACACCTAATTTTGGTCAAACATGAGTGAGAAACACTCCG